AATTCATCTCTATTCCCAATTGGCTGACTACCCTCGAAGTAATGCCAGGGAATTTAAACAATCTTTTTGGACCTTCGCATTGCCTTTTATTTAACAGCCTAGAAATATTACCTGGCTTGAACTTTTTTTGAGCTTGCTTTTTCTGGGTTATTGTTCTAACTTTATCCCTACTATGGATATCATGTTGAGACAAATGATTAGGATTCTGAAGGATGGGCTGAAGGGTCATCTGTTTAGCACTTATGAAAAGGCCAAAAGTATGGATTTTGATTAATTGCTATTTATCTCCCACACACTTTTTTTTTTTTTTGTTTTTTTTTTCCATCCACCTTCTCCCCCCCCCACCCCCCCCCCCCCCCCCCCCCCCCCCCCCCAAAAAAAAAAATCCCAGTTCAGATTATGATATAATAGTAATGTCATCTGGTCTGGTGATTCAACAGGCCTAGGATAATAGTTTAGTCTTCCCAAAGCATCATCAATTGTGTAACACTGCATCTGGTTTCATGAAGTGTAGTTTTTTTTTGGTTTTGAAGAAAAATGAGCTGTCAATACCTGGTCTCACTGACATGTGACTCCAGATCCACAGAATTGGTGTTCAGTCTTAACTGCCCTCTGAAATGGCCTATTAAGTTGCTCTGTTCAAGGGCAATTAGTGATGGGCAACAAACAAGGTCTTGCCAGCAGTGCCCATATCACAGTTGTTTTTAAATATAGAGCAAGAACCCATTGTTTTTTTTCTTTAACAGCTCATTTCATTGAAGAGGATCAGGTGTAATTTGTGGTAGGTTTCTTACAAAACTATGTAGCAGACTGGGAGAAGTTGATCAAGTGGATTTCAAACATTGGACATTGAAGACATATTGGCCTGAATAAAATTACACCACCTAGTCACTGAATCAAATTTGTTGTAGAGTTGTGTTGCAGTTAACAGAGTGCTCATTCTTTTTTTGGAGGTTCTTCCTGTTATACGGCTTGAATGCTGTCAAAGCAGATGTCCTGGAGACTGTGTTTTCACAGAACTGTTTTCATCAATGAGTTTGACTGTTGCACTCTGAGTTCAGCTTTCATCTGGAAAGGTCAGTCTGCTTTTCTTGGCAATATCCCATACATTCGTCAGAAGAATGACCAAACTTTAGCAGCCACAGACCAGCCCATTTCTCCAGGGAGGTATACGGTGGGATCTGGTACTGTTCCAAATCTAGTAACCTAATTCTCTCTCTTTTTTTTTTTTTAAGGCAGCAGTAGCATTTTCTTTTTGTGCCAACTATGAAAGTGTAACTGGCATACAGTTTTATTCAGAGAATGCTCTCAATGTTCATTTTTTCGGCTGAGTTTGCTAAGTTCTACTTGCATTTTGGCCCAAGAACACTAGAGAACACATTGCACAGATGGACTGTGAAGAGTTTGAGGGATAAGTAGAGCAGTCATCTGGTGTTTGTCAGGTAATTAAGCTGTATGTGTATGATAGCAGACTGCACATACTAAGCAATCATACAGTCATCCTGTCTTTGGATCGTGAGGGTTAGCATCAAGTTTCCAGAGCTGATTATGAAGATTAGAATTGCTCAGCAGCTGCTGCTCAAGATGCTGAGACGAGCTTAAGGCAATCGTTTTGTACACTTAAAACGTTGCACTTTTTCCTGTGGAATTTTCAAAGAAATTTTTATTCACTGGAAATGTCTTTAAAGACAGTTTTTGTGTTTGTTTTTTTTCCTCCCAAAAACAAGGTGTGAAACTGAAGTGGGAGGATCTGTTTGGTGCCCAACTAGTGTGCTCTCTGCAACATCTTGCACTGTGACTCGATAGGCCGAATGGCCTCTTCTGCACTGTAGGGATCCTAGTTTTCAGCAGCTGTTGGTGAAATTTAGGACATTTCAAAACTAACGCTTGCAAATCTAGAAATCTCTAATAATCTACATCAGCAAGAACTAAACTTTTAACTCCACCTAGAATCCTGTCGAGCCATATTAACATGGGCCAGCAAATGGTTATCAATCCAAAAGTCGGCTATGTTTGCAGATGTGGATTCTCTGTGGCTTTTAGCATTGGAATGGCTGTAGGTTTACTTCCTGTCATACCACTGCCTGATTGACCCCATATCTTTTTAACTCAGTTCCACATGGGTGCAGGTAAAATCTTTCCACCGCTTCTTTTCTATCCTGTCCTCTGCTTTCCCCGCCCACCTCTTCCCCCCCCCCCCCCCCCCAACCCCCAAAACCCAAAAAAAAATTTTGACTCTGGTTTGAGGAAAAAGAAAGCATCACATTTAAATACTCAAACTGCCATCAGGACCAAGCATAACCATGACCCTGGGCTAGCTAAACTTAAAAGTACACTGCTGAAAACTAGTCAGTAGGTTGGATAGCTGGTTTGTGATGCCAACAGCGTGAGCTCCAACCCTGCACAGTCTGAGGTTACCATGATGGGCTCATTTTCTCAACTTCTACACACACCTGAGGCTTGGTGACCCTCTGGTTAAACTCCATCCATTTGGGCTCTCTCCGAACAGCCCTGTGATTCTCTGGAACTGTGGCGACTGTACTTATTTTGGATTATAACAGAGCAAAAGTGCTGAAAATATCAGATTCAACAAATTCTGATCTTCTACTCTCCAGTATCATCCTCTGTTGTAACTTATTTCAGCAAGTTGTAACATTTTGCTTGGTTTATTAGACGGTTTCCTGTTGTCTCCATTTACAACTATTATGAAAATGACTATTAAGAGGGGGCATAATTTTAAGGTGATTGGAGGAAGGTATAGGGGAGATGTCAGAAGTGCGTTCTTCACACAGTGGTGGATGTGTGGAGTGTGCTGTGGCAGTGGTAGTGGAGGCAGATACATTAGGGACATTTGAATGACTCTTGGATAGGCACATGGAGGATAGTAAAATGTAGGATATGCAGGGTAGATTGACCTTAGTAGGATAATAGGTCAGCACAACATTAGTGGGCTGAAGGGCCTGTACTGTTCTATGTTCTATTATTTTTTTGAGGGAGGTGGTGGTAATCTTTTTAAATATTAACTACCAGCCATTGAACAGATGCTTAAAGACCAGTTGGTGTGACCAGGTCATGTTCTTAATCAATAGATAAATATTGTTGTCCACTCAGACATTCAAGTGCATCTCGAAGACAAAATGCTGAATCTCTAAAACATCTGGCAGAAACTGGAGAGAGGTTACAAGCCTTTCGTCCAAAATGAAAAATAATCTACTATAAATTGAGGAAGAATTTTGCCTTTAACAGTTTGCAAATAAAGTAAATATCATCTAATTTTCCAAAGTATGTGCTGAGCTTGTAATGGAACTGCCTGTCTTGGGGAATGAAGCAAAGTGTGGTAAATACTTAACTTGAAGGATAAGCGAAATAACATGCTTTTCAATTCTGAATAGGTATCACTGTCCACTCTGCTCCCCTGTCTATTTTAAAATTGAACACCTTAGTATTTCCAGGATGTATGCTTCACAGGGACAAGATACTTTTAATTCTTAGTGAAGCCATTCCACTATTACCTTTTTTTAATGTTTGAATTTATTTTGTAAGTGAAAACCTATCCAACATGTAGAAACCATTATTGCCTTAACTGAACCCTTGCCTTTTGATATTTTAAGAGCAACACTGTCTCTAACTTGGAAATTGAAGGAAGTCACTTCCAACTGATTTCAGTGAATCCTATTTTTCACTGTCAATTCTTTTCATTTAATTTTTAGTTCCTTTTTATGAAGAACTGCCTTTAATAATAGGACTTGACTGTAACCTGAAGCCAGGTCTCATTTCAATAGCGTTGCTTCTGCTGTAACAAGACCATTCATGCAACATGTCAAGGGTGACTAATGTGCCGTCAGCTCTTGTATTGCAAAATGCCCAGAATAATTGGCTTGATTTGAGATGGTGATGACTGTTAGACAGACATGTAATGACCTGGAGTTTTTCGGGTATTGATCCAACTAATCACAAGGTGAAAACGTGAAACAGTGAGAGAGGGAAAACAAAATTGTGGAGACTAAATTGAAACATCTGTCTAATCCCATGAACCAAACTATTGTATACAAATGTTTAGTGTGTAAATGCAGCTCTATTGTTGACCTTTGGAATCTGGTCCAGTAAAGACAACAGTCCTATCACTGCCATTGATTATTTCACCTGGCTTTTATTTTTTGCATTTTTGACTGAAATAAGCTTTAAAATGTTCTGTAGTCAATTATTTTGTTCAAAAGGTTATTGAAATTTGTTTTAATGGGTGATAATTGGTTACATGTTGGTATTAAGTGAAAATAGTGGTGGGAGATTACAGTACTGTATGTGAGGTGACTGTGTGTTCAATTTTGGGATCTTTGTTTCAACATTCTAAGGTATTGGTTTTTAGCAGTTTGCATCGTCCCTGTTTGGACTTCAGTAGAATTTTAGGATAGTTACTGTTTGTAAACACTTAATGTGCTGATTTAATGCAATGTGACCAACAATAACTTTTTTTTTTTTGTTTTGACT